GGCCCCTCCCCATGTCCCGGTCCTGGCGCCCAGTGACTATTTTGTCTCTTCCCTTCCCCACTTCCTTCCCAGGTTTCGGTCTAAGTACCACCCAGATGAGGTGGGGAAGCGGCGGCAGGAGGCCCGGGGGGCCCTGCAAAACCGACTGAGGGTATTCCTGTCCCTCATGGAGAGTGGCTGGTTTGATAATCTTCTCCTGGACATAGACAAAGCTGATGCCATTGTCAAGATGCTGGATGCAGGTGTGTGGATTGGGAGGGGAAGAGGGTGTCTGGTGACCAAGGTCTTGATTGGGAAATAGATACAGTTGATCATCCAGAGGCTGAAGACCAGGGCCATAATGACCTCTGCCCTGTCTGTTGGTAGCTGTGATTAAGATGGAAGGAGGGACAGAGAACGATCTGCGCATCCTGGAGCAGGAGGAGGAGGAGGAGCAGGCCGGAAAGCCTGGGGAGCCCAGTAAGAAAGACGAGGGCCGGGCTGGACCAGGCCTGGGGGATGGAGAGCGCAAGGCCAATGATAAGGACGACAAGAAAGAAGATGGCAAACAGGTCAGAGTGCTGGGCTCGCTGGGTGCTGCCCGCTGGCTGCTGCCCATGAGCTCCTGGGGAGGAGGATGGAGCAGCTTCAGTGGTCGGGGCGGGGCTGGAGGGTTGTGTGCTGGGTCCAGGAGAGGTGGAGGGCTAGGGAGGGCCAGGCCCTCTGATAAAGGTTGAAGGGGAGATGGATGTGCTGGGGATTATCTCTGCCTGCAGGCTGAAAACGACAGTTCTAACGATGACAAAACTAAGAAGTCTGAGGGTGATGGGGACAAGGAAGAGAAGAAAGACGACTCTGAGAAAGATGCCAAAAAGGTAGGGTATCTTTTGCCAGGGGATCAGTGTCCGGTCCAGTGGCCTGGTTAGCTGACTCCCTTCCTCTTGCTGTGGCTCTCACAGAGTAGCAAGAAGCGGAATAGAAAACACAGTGGCGACGACAGCTTTGATGAAGGCAGTGTGTCCGAGTCCGAGTCGGAGTCGGAGAGTGGCCAAGCTGAGGAAGAGAAGGAGGAGGCTGGTAGGTTTTATTTTCTGCTTCTAGTCCATTCTCTTCCTACTGAATAGGGGTAGGGGAAGTGGGAGTGGGTGAAATTGTTAAGGGTGGGCCTTTTGGGAGATGAGGGTGGGGAGGTGGGAGCGTGACTGCTTCTCTGTCTTCCCTTCCAAAATCAACAATAAAAAAATCACCGACTCCCACCACTTTCTGCATAGAAGAGGCACTCAAGGAAAAGGAGAAGCCCAAAGAAGAAGAAAGGGAGAAGCCTAAGGACACTCCTGGGTTGGAATGTAAACCTCGGCCCCTTCATAAGACTTGCTCCCTCTTCATGCGCAACATTGCACCCAACATCTCGCGGGCAGAGATCATTTCTGTGAGTGGGGAAGAGTATTGGGGGCAGGAATGGCACCCATGCTCCATCTTTGGTGGCAGGGAGGGGGAGCTGGTGAGGCGGGGAGAGGATAATGTGACTCTGCTTCTAACATATACCCCTCTTTCTCTAACAGGGAGACCCCTTCCCGTGGGCCCATGCCTTTTGTGGGCTGGCTCCAATTGCACCATTTGCTTTTAAGTGCTCTTATTCTTAAGCCCTTTATTGGTTTTTCCTTATTTGAGTAAAGATTCAAAGGCAATTCCTAGGGTTCTGAGGACATGGGGATTGGAGGAAGAAGTGAAACGTTGAATCGCTCAATGGGGTTTCTGTTCCTGTTTTTCCAGCTTTGTAAAAGATACCCAGGCTTCATGCGTGTGGCTCTGTCAGAGCCCCAGCCTGAGAGGAGGTGAGGAATGGAGAGAAGAGTGACCCTGGAAACCCTGGGGATAGGGTACAGGGGGAGGCAAATGGCCGGTATCCGTTCCACCCCAGGGTTATGCTGATCTTTTCTTCTGTAGGTTTTTCCGTCGAGGCTGGGTGACCTTTGACCGCAGCGTTAACATCAAAGAGATCTGTTGGAACCTGCAGAACATCCGGGTAAGTGCTGGGAGTGGGCTCTCTGTGCTGCACACAACCTCCGATTCCTTGTTCTTTTGATTCACTCATTCTGCGCCCCCATCCATCCATTCAGTCTGCTCACATTAAGTATATACTGGTGTCCATGAATAAGACCCTCCTGGTCCCTGTTCTCGGGGAGCTCACGGTCCAGTTGCTGGTCCTGTCAGTAGGGCCAGTCCCTGGAGCTGCTGCTGCTTGGGCGAGTGTTGGTGAGCTTTGTGTTCATTCCCTCTAGCTCCGGGAGTGTGAGCTGAGCCCTGGTGTGAACAGAGACCTGACCCGCCGAGTCCGCAACATCAATGGCATTACCCAGCACAAGCAGATAGTGCGCAACGACATCAAGCTGGCCGCCAAGCTGATCCATACGCTGGATGACAGGACCCAGCTCTGGGCCTCTGAGCCCGGGACACCTCCTCTGCCAACAGTCAGTGACTCCCCATGGAACTTTTCCAAAAGCAGCCGATACCATGTCGGCTGCTGTGGGCACCTCCGGTCTTGTCTGTAGCATTGACCCCTTGTTCCTATTCTGTTTGGGCAGCACTCCAGCTTTTCCAGTAGAATAGACTGGCATTAGTGATGATGTATTGGCTAGGATAGAATAAGAAAAAGACAAATAGTGAAGCAGTGGTAACAGGCCAAGTGAACCCTGGATTCCTTCTGCTTCATATGAGGAGCTTCCGGGACTACCTACCTCAGGGTCTTCTCTTGTCATCTCACTTGCCTTTCTTTTTCCTGCCTACCAGAGTCTGCCCTCCCAGAACCCAATCTTGAAGAATATTACTGACTATCTGATTGAGGAAGTGAGTGCGGAGGAGGAGGAGCTGCTGGGGAGCAGTGGGGGCGCTCCCCCTGAGGAGCCCCCTAAGGAAGGGAACCCTGCAGAGATCAACGTGGAGCGGGATGAAAAACTGATCAAGGTGCCAGCAAGGGCAGGCGGCCAAGGTCCTGGCTTGGGGCAGCAAAGGGGCAAGAAGAGTATGGTGAACTCACACGTTTTCATTTCCCGCAGGTTCTGGACAAACTCCTTCTCTATTTGCGCATTGTGCATTCCCTGGATTATTATAACACTTGCGAGTACCCCAATGAGGACGAAATGCCCAACCGTTGTGGCATCATCCATGTTCGGGGGCCCATGCCACCCAACCGCATCAGTCATGGAGAAGGTGGGCTCCCAGCTCCCCCACTCCCGATTCCCCTTTGGTTTCCCTTTCTCCTCAGCTGCCTCTGGTGTTAGATCTGTTCTGGTAGCAGTGCCTTCCCGCCCTCTCCTGTGATCCTCTCCTTTTTCTTTTTTTCTTTAAATATTTTATTTTTAAATAATCTTTATGCCCAACGTAGGGCTCAGAATCAGGACCCTGAGATCAAGAGTCACATGCTCTGACTGAGCCAGCCAGGTGCCCTTATCCCTTCCTTTTTATTCCTTGCTTCTGGCTCCCTTCTTCAGCCCGCTGTCTGTTCCCAAACCACAGTGCTAGAGTGGCAGAAGACATTTGAGGAGAAGCTGACTCCGCTGCTGAGTGTACGGGAATCTCTTTCCGAGGAAGAGGCTCAGAAGATGGGTCGCAAAGACCCTGAGCAGGAAGTGGAAAAGTTTGTCACCTCTAACACCCAGGAACTGGGCAAGGATAAGTGGCTATGCCCTCTCAGTGGCAAGAAATTCAAGGTCTGGGATGTTAGAGAGTTGTGCGTTAGAACTGTGGGCCGAGGGGGTTGAGCCAGGAAGCCGCCTCCGGCCTGGGGAGGAATTGGCTCTGGAATTGGTGGGCGGGGAGGTTGATTATCCTTCCACATTGCTTGCTCTGGTCTGACCCTCTCTTTCTTTCCCCAGGGCCCTGAGTTTGTACGCAAACATATCTTCAACAAGCATGCAGAGAAGATTGAGGAAGTGAAGAAGGAGGTGGCATTTTTTAACAACTTTCTCACTGATGCCAAGCGCCCAGCTCTGCCGGAGATCAAGCCAGCTCAGCCACCTGGCCCTGCCCAGAGTAAGATACGATCCGTGAGAGTCTGCCACATTCCCTCTCCCTTGACTATTCAAGGATTCCTGGTTCTCTTATCCCGTCATCCTCTGAAAACTTTCTATCCCACTCTCAGGCAGTATTCCTAAAAGCCGGTTGTCACTCCCCATCCTGTCCTCCTCCCCTCCCCGTGCCCCCCCTGCCCCCCCCCGCAGTAATTCATGTTCCTGTCCGTGTTGTACTCCCCCCAGGCCTGACCCCGGGACTCCCCTACCCACACCAGACTCCCCAGGGCCTGATGCCCTATGGTCAGCCCCGGCCCCCCATCTTGGGCTATGGAGGTGAGTACAGGGGGAGCTTGAAAGGGTTTAGTGACTGTGAGGGCTGGGAGAAAGGAAGCTTAACCAAGGTATAGTTGAGGTCACAGGTTTTCAGCTCAACACTGATCTCTTGTGTAGCTGGTGCTGTCCGCCCTGCAGTCCCCACGGGAGGGCCTCCATACCCTCATGCCCCCTATGGTGCTGGCCGAGGGAACTATGATGCCTTCCGAGGCCAAGGAGGTTATCCTGGGAAGCCTCGGAACAGGTGAGAATGAGCTAAGACGTCCCAAGCTTTCTTGCCCTCTTCAAGCTCCCTTTCAGGGATTCTCAACTGTCTTCCCATCTTACCTCTTCCATATCTCACAGGATGGTCCGAGGAGACCCACGGGCCATTGTGGAATACCGTGACCTGGATGCTCCAGATGATGTGGACTTCTTTTGAGCCATCTACTTTTCCTCACTCCTGGTATCGTCTGTAATTGTGACTGCCTAGTCCCATCCAGCTGAGAATTTTTTTTTGTACGTTCAACCCTACTGCCAATAAAAGCACTTCCATAGTGATTGATTATCATGTACCTCCCCACATTCTCCCAAAGATTGGCTGGGGCCATAATTAGCTGAGCCTCACCACTTTATTGACTCCAAAGGCCCAGGCAGCTTTTGCCTTGGAGTAAAGGGTTTAGGTGTGTTTGGGGCCAGAGACAGTCTCCATTCTGGGCCCCGAGCCTCAGTCCAGGGCGTGTTGCTGCTTTTGGGAGTTGCAGCTGGTCAAGCACAGGTTGTAGAAGGAGTTGCGGTCAAAGGCTGTACCTACCTCTCTCCATCCTACCCACCCAGCTGCCTGTAGTTCACTGGGATTTTTCGGAGCACCCCAGAAGTGAGGGTCCAATACCAGAACATAGGCCTCTGTGCCTGGACCCAGGCAGACTCCTAGCAAGGCCTTGGACTGGGCATCTGCATCCCCCCCAACCATTACAGGCCCCCCGCCCCCTGCGAAGTGGGAGTAAAGCCTCTCCAGTTCCCCCTGGAGCCCTGCTCCACGGGGTACGTGACACAGGCGCCCCTGGGGCCCTCCGAAGTGGTCGAGGCACAGACTGGCTTCTACACAACCGATCCAGCTCCGGGAGCCCCGGAACCCGGGGGGCTTGTCGCCCATGTCCTCCAGGGCCGCCTGCACGGCGGCTAGCCCGGGCACGCCCGCGGGCCGGCCCTCTGGCCACGAGCACAGCGTCTGCAGAGTGCGGTAGCCGCAGCCCCAGCCCCGGTCGTCCAGGCCGTCGCAGCCGTAGTGATAGTAAAGGTAGTGGCCCGCGAGGAGGGCCAGGCGAGCGGGGCCGCGGCCGGGCGGGGCCAGGCCCAGGTGCACGTCCTTCAGCAGCTCCAGGGCGGGCGGCGGGGGGCCGGGCAGACGCGTCCTGGCGGCGCGGACGGAACTCCGGCTCCAGCGTTTCCTCTCGGACCCGGATCTTGAGCTAGCCGCAGGCAGAACCGACGGGCGGGCTCTGGGGAACCTTCTCTCGCTGGTCTCCGGCAGCCGCGAAGAGCGAGCTGCAGCCGCGGGGAAGGCGCCACCCGCGAAGCTCCCACAATGCACCACCGGGCTGCCGTTGCTACTGCGCAGGCGCGCGCCCCGCCTCGTAAGGTGGGGCGGGGCGGCGGGGCGGCGGGGCGGCGGGGCGGGCACAGGCACGCTCCGCCCCGCTACTGAGATCCGCAAGTTGGGAGGGCTCTCGCACCAGCCCTTCTGTCTACTCAGCCCCGGTGTTTGAGGCCCGCTCCCTAGTCGCGCACACTGCTGTAGCTGTAACAGTTTATTGGCAGCCCAGAGGGGCGAAGGCACCGCGGGGGAGGGGCTCGGCCCGAGACATGCAGAGGGCGGGGAGCCTCCGGGGATAGTCGGGGGGGAGGTGGGTGGGCACGTTCTAGGGCTCCCCCGTGTTATATCCCAGCCCTTAGATAAGTATATACAGCTAGGGGGCCGGGCGGGGCGAGCAGGGCGGGGAGACGTGGGGGTCCCGTCTGGGTCACAGGTCTGAGCAGCGATCCTGCTTGCTGTAATGGTCAAACTGGTTCTTCCAGTGCACCATGTAGGAGCTCCAGCGGTGGAACTCGGCCTTCCACTGGCGCTCCGCCTCGTCCAGCGTGTCTGCGGCCAGGGCGCCCGGCAAGTGGGTTGGAGGAGGACAAGGGGAAGGTCAGGGAACGTGCATGGTGGGGAGCGTGAGTGCAGGAGGATACAAGAATGCAGGAGGGCACGCAGGACGGTGGAAAGAGGATCAGAAAAATATGCGGAAGACGGAGGACCAGAGGAAAGATGAGAGTGGAGGCGGGGCCGGAGAAGGATGGCGGGAAGGAAGGGGTGGGGGGAGGAGAAAATGACCGTTAGACAGGGGGACAGAAAGGATCAGAAGAGGGAGGACCCGTGGGTTGGTGGGGAAAAGAGACAGAAATGTTGACTGTTACAGCCCCACTAGGGGGTGCTGTCTAGCTCCCGGCCTTCCCTCTCCCCCCAACACCAGGCTCCGGCTCCAAACAATTTTATAAAAAAAGAAAATTGGCTTTTTCATTTCCATTTAAACAACAAAGGCGTGTGGGTCCCTGAGACGGGTCATAGGTCACCACCCCCTCCCAGCCCTGGTCAGTTTGAGTCTCTCAGTTTGAGGAGGGAGGGTGCGCTGGGTCGGAGATCCCTGAGTGGGGCCCTTGCCCACTGTCCGACCACTCATTAGAGGAGGGGGGCCCCCTGAGGCCGGAGGGGTAAGTGGCCGTGGTCACAGCCGCAGGAGCCGGGCGAGGTGGAGGAAGAGGAGAAGGAGGGGCAGGGGAAGGCCGGGCCTGGGCCTCGGGGCGGCCTCCCCGTGGGCGGGGCCTGAGCAGGTGCTGGGAGCCTTCGAGGCTGGGTGGGGGGCGGTGGAGAAGAGAGGGGTTACACCCGGCCGGCTCCCACTCCCCTCTCTCTCTTCGCGCCCCTTTTCTGCCCTCCTCCGCCCAGCCCCTGCCCGCTGGCCAGCCCCTGCATACCGGTGGCGCTGAGCAATTTGGGTAGGAAGCGGTTCCAGAAGGCGCAGGCCTGGGCGCGCAGCCCCCGCCGCACCTCCAGCGGCCGCAGGTTCAGGCTCACGTACTGCTGCGCTCCCGCCGTGTACGGTGGCCACTGCGGGACTTTGGGGTCCCGGGGGTCATTGGGGTCCCTTCGGAAGGAAAGGGAAGGCTCAGCCTCAGGCAAGCCTGCCCCGCCCGCCCTTGGGACTGTGGACCGGAGATGGAGAGCAGGAGGAAGGCTGCTTCCGACCCGTGCGCTCTTCGGCTCCCTGGAGAACACATCCCCTCCTTCCCACCACCTCTTTAACCCCTCTTTCTGGTCTCCCGGATCCCCCATCATCTGGAGCCATCCCCTTCCTCCTGACCTCCCTCTTTCTGCCTTTCCCTCGGCTTTACTGTTCCACCTTTGTCTTTGTTTCTCCCATTTAAAACATCCCTACGATTTATGAGCCCTCACTATGCAAGCAGGCTGCCCTAGCTCTACAAACATCTTGTTTTTGCTTTTGACAACACCCAAGTGATGTCGGATTTATGGTCCCCTTCTTCGGAGAGGTAAACTGGTGTGTGAGTACATATGCATGTGTGCATGTCACAGCTAATAAAATCACCACTGGCCCAATAGAATCCAGCTCTCTCCAGTTCAAGCTCCTAAGTACTATGGTAATTCCTTTGTCTCCCTGTCTCTCTCCTCTTCGCTTCCCTCCCCCTCGGTCCTTGATTCTTCAGGACCTGCCATCCTGTTTTCCTCTCCAGTCTCCTTTGTCATTCTGTCTCCGTCTTTGTCTCCTTCCTTTTGTGAACTTTTCCCTCCCTCTCCGGCCCTTTCTGTCTGTCTCTGTTTGTCTTCCTCTCTCTGTCCCCTGCTCTTGCTTCTCTGGTTCCTGGAGGCCCTCTTCCCCTCAGTACTGCTGACCCTGTGCGGGCGAAGTTGGCCCAGTATCTCATCAGTCGCTGGGCAAAGGTTCTCTCCTCGGCGGTATAGTTTAGCGAGGGTTCCAGAGGGAGCCCAAAGATGAACTCGATCTCGTAGCCATGGGGCACCCCCATCCAGAGGGGCCAGGAGAGCGTAGACGCGCGGTGTTCAAAGATGTAGGCATAGACCCGAGCACCCTGGGCAGCCAGTCGCCCAGCCAGCTGGGCCACGGGGCACACGACGTTGTGGTCGCCCACGACATCACTCATGGCCTCTCTCAGGCGTGCCGGGTCCTCAGGGTGCAGCCAGTCTGTGTAATGCAGGACCACAGCCTCGGCAGCTAGGTCACTCGCCTGGGGGACCCCGACCCGCACCCCGGCCAGGAACTGGGCCCGGCTGATGAGAGATTCGTTGTCTTTGCTGAAGCCTGGGGCCCCGTAAACCAGAAAATAGGAGCCCTCATCCTTCACCACACCCACCAGCACCTGGGGGGACAGGATGGAGGGATGGGGGGGTACAGACAGACAGGCAGACAGAAACAGATGGACAAAGAGCCAGAGAGATCAATAGTTACAGACCCCAGAACCATGGAGGAAGAGAGTATGAGGTTGGGGAAGGGACAGAGAGAAAGAGAAAATGTACCCATGTTTCCTTTTCTCTCTGCCCCACTGACCACCCTGGGGTCTGAGCTCTCAGGGAGGAGGGGGCGGCCCTGGGGCCAGAAGCCCAGGCCTTTGGGAGTTGGATCTCGAGGAGCCTTCATGCCTGGGTCCCCGGGGGTGGGGGGTGGGGGCGGGCGGGAGAACAGGCCTAGAGGAACCAGCTCCACCCCTTCTAGCCACTAGTCACCTGCAGACCGTGGAAGTCTCCGGCATTGATGAGGGCCTCGGGTGTGTCACTGAGGAAGTCTCCATCCACCACAGGGACGAAAGAGAAGCGGAAGACACTTTCTTGAGGCAGCACGTGCCACTCGTGGTCCACCAGGTCCTGAGCTGGCCGTGTCCTCAGGCAGGCGACCAGCTCTGTGTCATTGCCCCCAGCACCCCCCGGGGGACAGCCTACGAGGCGGGCCAGCAGTGTGGCCCTGCGGCGGGCCTCTCCCACACCCACTGTGGCCCAGGGGCCGTTGGGTGCACCGCTCTGCAGCACAGCCCTGTGGAACAGGCCCCGGCTGGGAGGGGACAGCAGGTGCATGCCCACTGAGGCAGCTCCGGCACTTTCCCCAAACAGAGTCACTGACATTGGGTCGCCCCCGAAGGTTGCCACATTCTCCTGCACCCACTGTAGGGCCAGCCTCTGATCCAGTAGACCCACGTTGCCTGGGGCCTCACGGCTCCCTGGCAGGGCCAAGAAGCCAAAGGCTCCTACCCGGTAGTTCATGGACACCAGCACGGTCCCCTCAGCCTGGGCCAGGAAGCGGCCGTCATACACGTCCAGGGAGGAGGCCCCACTGTAGAAGCCACCCCCGTAGATCCAGACGAGGACAGGGGTGGGGGACACAGGCCGGGGGTATGGTGTCCACACATTGAGGTAGAGGCAGTCCTCACTCAGCTCTCGGTTCGGGTTCCACATCTCGGTGCCCTCAAAGCCGGGGTACAAGGTGTCCACATATTGGTAGCAGACACTTTGGAAGGCTGTGGCGTCCAGCACCCCTGGCCAGGGCCGCTTGGGCTCCGGTGGCAGAAAGCGACGGGGGCCCACAGGTGGCTCTGCGAAGGGGATGCCCAGGAAAGCGGAGACAGGGCCCCCAGGGGCCATTAGGCGGATGCCCCGCAGCCGGCCCCCACGCACCGTCACCAGCAGCTCTGGGTCCTCAGCCTCTGCTCCTCCTCCCAGGAGGAAGAGGAGGAGGAGAAGGATTGGGGAAGCCAGGGAGGGCGTGTGCAGGGGACACCAGGGGGGCCTCATGGCTGCCAGGGCAGGCAGGCGTCTGCTGGGAGAAAGAAAGGCAGAGGGTGAAGGCCTGAGGCTGCCAGGAGGGAGGAGATTAGGTAACACTCTTGCCCAGGGGTTATCACTGAGCTGCAGAGGAGGTGGGGCAGGTTGGTAGAGAGGAGAGAAACGGAGGGAGGGAGACAGGCACAGACAAGGACACAGGCAGACAGGGAGAAGCAAGAGGGGACAGAGATCAGGCACACTACACAACACCCAGACAGACGGACGGAGGGAACAGAGATGAGGCCTGCCAGGCAATCCCTTCCCCTGCCCTACAGAGCGCCCACCACCCTCACCTCCTTCCCCTAGCTGGGTGGACTGGGTTGGGCCCAGCCAGAGCAGTGCGGGCACCCGCACTAGAGGCCGCAATCCACACACAGGCCACCCGACAGGGGCGGGGCCCTCACTGACGGGAGGCGCCGCTGGGGAAGCTTGGGGTGGTGTGAAGGCGCAGCCTGTCCTGAGTTGGCCAGGGTCGGGGGCCCTGGGGGGGTGGGTTGGGCATTCAAGGGTGTGGGAGCTACAGGTCCCGGGGTACCCCAAATCCTGCTTACTCCACACCCTGCCCCACCCTGCTCCTCCTCGTCCACTGTCTGGCACGGGGCGCTGGTACCCGTGGGTGCCGGTCAGCTGCGCATTCACCTCGCCTAGCCTCAGAGATCAGGCTCGCCAGCCCGGGTCCCCCAGGACTCGAGTCCCCCATCAGTCCGATGCTGCGGGGCACGCTGCCGCCAGTGGGGGGCAGTAGAGACCGAGAAAAGGACGGCGCTCCCCGCCCCGAGTCCGGGAGCCGGGAACTTGGGGCGGGGGTCTGGAGGCTCGCGGGCATTGCGGAGGGGTCTGAAGGGCGA